ATATTTCTGACTTTTGCAGGTAGGTTATAATTTCAGACAGTTGTTTTGACGTGACTCTTTGGCAACGCACACATATTTGTGAGATCTTCAGACCTCTGTGAATTAGAATGACATATGAAATGCTTTAAAAATGTAACTCTTCTGGTACACAATGTAGCATGCCTTGCTACTGTTGAAACATGCAAAAGGTCAGTTGTAGGGAAACAAAAACTAATTTGCAATACAAGCAAGAAGAGAGAAAAGGGAAACATGAAGGCAAACCTTCCCTTGCTCTCTTTTATGACTATTCCTGTGATGCACGAGAGGACGTAGTAGTCCTTCTGGATGAAGCCCTCTCCTGGCCCTACCTTGGAGTTTACATTTCACTGTCGGAAAGAGACAGCAGTTAAGTGGCCTGTCTTTGTGCACACACGTGTGCCTACGAGTCTAGCTGCATGTGCGTACCCGGGTAACAAGTAAGTCCGCCGTGGGTGGCAGGTTCTGGCTGTCTGCTCACTGCTGTGTCCCTGTAGGACTTCTAGGCCTCAGGTAGGAGGGACAGAACAAACAGGAAGAGAAAACATGCCTCAGAGGAGAGGAAAGGGTGGGTGGTGGCGGGTGTCCATTTTATATGTCTCCCACTGTTGGAGGCCATCTTCCACATTATTCAGACCAGTGGCTCACAAACCAGGGTCCTGGGCCCCTACACCCCATTGAAGACAGGAATGGGACTCCTCCAACTATTTTTTTGGCTTTTCAAAAAAGAACTAATGGGAAGCAGGCTTTTCCCAGAGATGAGGCAGATTGGTTGACCTAAAATGCCAGCTTTTTTGCTTTTGGCTGGAATTTTACCAGCTCAGTGTGGTTGGGCTGGTTCTCCCATGCTGATCCAAAGCCCTGATGGGCAATGACATCCCAGTTTATGATTAATGAATATGGGGGAGATGAATTAATGAAGCTTTTTGGAATGGGGGAGAGAGGTACACTCTAGGCCAATGGAACCCTCCCTTCATAGGTGAGGACACTAAGGCCCCAGATAGCAGATCATTTATCCAATGTTACATAGTACTGCAGTGGAAGAGCTGGTCCCAAACTCTGATCTTCTAACTCTTGCTCCCATTTCTTTTGTGTCATTTTTGGTTTTCTTTTTCTTGAATATCTTTCAGGACTCTCATAGCCTAACATATGCACAACACTTTACAGTTTCTAAAGTTCCTCATATGTATCCCTTCTGCAAAGGCAAATGTTGCATTTCCCGTTTTGTGAGTGAGAACACTGAGGCCCTGAGAAGTTAAGTGACTTATACCAGTTCAGCCAACTAATAATTGAGAGAAAGTCCCTTTACCATCTGCAAACTACCTTTTCCTTCCATCTCCTGAAGCGTGATATTTCACCATTAGAACTTTATTCCTTTAACTTAAGGCATTGGTCGTCTTTAATTCCAAATGCCTCTGGGAAGAGTCATATTTAAGCTAGCATCAGTCACTAGTACCTTAGTGTACATCAATGTAGAATTTGTTCCTGAATTTCTTTTAAAAACGTAGAGATGTTAAGGAAACTGGGGGCCTGAAGGACTGAGAAGACAACTTAGAATGGGGAGATGTGAAAAAATCTCCATATGATTCCTAATTTGGTCTCAGATCACTGTCTTCATTGGCTGGTGACTTTTATAAATTCTCCATCAGAGGCATCTTATTACAGAAGAGTCCCATCTTGTCACCAGATCTGTCACCAACAATAAGGACAGAGGAAAGGGTGACTTAGCCTCTGCGCTTTCTGGTAAGAGAACCTCAACCATCTGGCTCGGTGGGTTTCTGGCTTCTCCACAGAGACAGCATTTAGATATTTAAACTTTAATGTGAGTGACTCAGGAATAGTTTTGCAGACAGTGTCAACTGCCTCTTCTCATGACACTGGAGCAAGGAAGCCATGAAGAGCCAGGATCAAGGCTCTGGCCAGGCAGGTAAGGGCATGCATTCCTTTGACCTCCATGACTTAAGCCCTGTACTGTGCTGTGCCTTTTCTGTGCTCGGTGCCAGGGGCTGGGAACTGCAGGGGGAGCGAGGCATGCTCCCTGCCCTTGATGAGCTCATAATCTAATGAACCCTGTAAGTACTGGGCGTTGGATAGGAGAAGCCCAGGAGGTGGTTGAGGCAGGAAGGGCCTACCAGACTCAGAGGTCCAGGAGAAAGAGGGCAGAGTCCAGGAGAGCAGAGATAATGCCCCAGGAGCAGGTGACACCTGGTGAGCTGCAATGTAGGGTGGAGGCTATTTATCCTCTGCCTATGTCTATACTGGCTGGTGAGTGTGTGGGTGGAGGTGGGGAATGGGGAGTGGTTGAAGGAGGCCTGGTTAGCACTTTTAAGACAGTGGGAGAGGCAGAGTCTCACAGCTCACCTGTTTCTGTTGTTCTGTTTGTGTCTTATGGTCCCTGACCCTCTCTTCCTGGGCTTTCCATAGAGCCTCTCCTCCTTTCTAATAGATAAAGGCAACATTAAGGCCCCCCAAAAGACAGATCTATAAGCCAACTCCTCAGCTCATTACTGGACGATTCCTTTCCAAAGGGAAAGATGCCCAGGAAAAACATAGCTAGGAAAGCCCTGGGGATTAGGACTCATGTGACAATGCAGGGCATAGAAGATCTCTTGATGGCATTTACCAAGTCTGATTAAAAGACCACAGAGCAAAGAGCCAGGAAGAACATGACTGGGATTCTGGCAATGTCCAAGGAAAAGCTAAAGGTTGGAGTGATGGACTGAGGCAGAAAAGGCTAATGAGTGGAACATGGATGAGTGAGAGAAAGGAGGGTTGAGGAGCCGAGGAGAGCCAAAGTGGTCCAAGACAGAGGAAAGTGCATCCCATCCAAGCACAAGATGGGGAGGGCTCAGTGGCGACTCTTCTATTGCCTTCTCAGTAATTAACCAGGCTCTGTGGACATAAAGACATAATTACAGGCAAAACACCTCCTTTGATGTAAGAGTATATAGAATGTCTGGGGGAAAGAGGGGCAAATAAAAGAGAGAACAATCTTGCTTTAATATGCAAACAAGGCTGATGGAAAAATATTACCAAACAAACAAATAAGCCAAACAAACAGAAGTTTGGGAAAACAAGACCCAGGCTGAGTGGGCACCCAAGATATCCTGGGCTCTCTGGGAGCATCACAGCCAACATCACTGGGCATTTTTTCTTTTCTTTCAAAGAGTGCACATGTTTTTATCAGGGTGGCTGCGTCTGCATCCCCTACCTGTTCTCTGCAGAAATTCTTAGCACTTTTCCAAAGAGGCCTGTTTACTCCTGGAATCTAAGCCCCAGAGAATGGGGGGTTGCAAAGGGGTTGAATGGCTCCTCCTGGAAAGCAAAGCTAATCGGGAACGTAGCTGAGCTTGTAACCCGGCATCCTGGATGCCTGTCCTGTGACAGAACCCCCGAAGCACCACTCTTTTCGGTAGAGTCAACTTTATTACCGAAATCTGTTAATTGGGGGATGAGGGGGAGGAGCAGGAGAGCAATGTGATGATAATACGATTTAACACTTGATGGGCTCTGAAAAAAAATAAGGAAGGGGCTTTGGACTTTAGCTTGGCACATTTGTCATGCCACATACATGTTACCAAAATGAATATGTGCAACTAAACTATATGCAAGACTCTGGGGGCACAACAGCACATACTTGGTGAAATAAAAAGGCATTTCTCCTGCCTCCACTGTGTCTCTTGTGGTGCCATTGTCTGATGCTAAGAACTCACATAATAACAAAAAACAATGCCCCTATGATGGGGGAAAACTTGATTTGGCACCAGCAGTGTTTTCCATGGGAATGATGGTGGGGGCTGTGGCTGACTGTGGGAATAGTGCAAATCAGCACTTTTTTGTAGAGTTTCTTCAAGCCTTTGTTTATTTTGGCCTTGGTCAGATCTGTGGCCCAGCTTGAAGATTCCCACTGGGCTTTCTGAAGCTCACAGACATATGAGGGATGGAACAGGGATAAATAAATAATTTCAAATCACCCTCCCCCTGCCCTGGCACTCATGTGTGGGGTGTGTCTGTCTCAGTGGGTGTGTATATATATATATACATGTGGGTTGTAGTACTGTATATTTGACCCATTCCACCACCAGAGAATTAAAGAGAAATCAGGATTTTCTCCAGGCTTAGCTCGTTTATTGTCTATCATCTTTCCTTTGGGGCAAGGGAGATCAGAGCTGTTTCACACAAGCTCCAGTTTTTGCAAAATGGCATTGGATAAAGCTTGTGTGAAACTGCGTCACGAGGCCTTCCTAAAGTCCTTAGACGTTTATAGACATTGAAACACGAGTAGCTCAGGTTGTGAATTCTGAGAGAAACAAAAAGTCAGCAATTGTTCTGATAACGAAAGATGAACTTTCATCTCCCAGTTCTTAGAAGTTTCTACTCTATCCTAGCTAAAGGATGTGGAGATCAACCATACAGAATCTGTCACAAAATGGAAAATGAGCAAGGAGTATGCATAGTAAGATTATATTATGGTCCCAAATGTGAATACATTGGCTTTAAAATGACTGTTACTGATTGTTCCTGTCACATCAGCAGCAAGTTATTATATTTTTAAAAGTGCACTAAGGCTTTATTGAAGATTTTGTGGGGGAGTGTGCATGTATACGTACTCTGTAAGCTTTATAGAAAGAGTATTTTACAAAGAAATGTACTTTCTCCCCTTTTTTCAAAAAGTTTCCATTTCCAGTAAGTCTTTGTGACAAATGTGTATGAAGCTACCTCTTAGCAGGGTGGCTATTGCACAACTCCAGGGGGAGCATTTGCTGTGTCCTCAATGTAAATGATCCCCCTGGAGGAAAACTCCAGGTGGCCTTGCAAGGTGACAATATTTAGATGAGCTGTGGCAGAGATATTTCTGATGAAGTACAGAAGAGTTTTGTTCACTGTATCTTCCTCCCTTAGATGCAAGTTACATCAGAGTAGAGGACCCAGGCTCTTGCCTGGGACTTGGGTAGAAGAAAAATATCTTACTATAGGCCAGAGTGTGCTACGTGCAGATAGGATTTAATCCACACAAACATCTTATCAGAAGTTTCAAGGGATTTAACCCACACAAGCGTCTTATCAGAGGTTCCAAGAGAGGTTAAGGGACTTGGTCAAGCTCACGTAGTCTGTGTGCAGCAGAAGTGGGATTCAAACCTTTTCCCTGACACTCCACAGCAGCCCGCAACTATCCTCGGCTCCCTCTGCATCTCCAGGGGCTGAAAGCATCCAGGGGCTGGAAAGCATTGATAGCAGCCGCAGTGAAACAACGTCACCTGGGGTAGAGGTCTCCAGAGCCAAAAAATGGAATTCGGCTGGGAATAGGAGGTGCTTCTTGGGCTGTCACTTCTGCCTTTTAGCCTCTCTGTCAAATAAAAGGGAGGCAGGTGAGGAGGCACCCTGGAGTGAGCTTTGCACAGCTGGAAGGAGCCTGGGAAGAGGAGTGTGGAGAGGGATGCTTACATCTCCTCCCCCTTCCTGGAAAATAACTTTGCATTTGAAGGAAGAAAGGAGTAAATCTGTAACCTGGACTCGGACATTTTCAACACCAGCGAGAACTCGATGGAGAAGCACATCAACACTTTTCTGCAGAACGTGCAGATTCTGCTCGAGGCCGCCAGCTACCTGGAGCAGATCGAGAAAGAAAACAAAAGTAAGTTTGGGGGCCCTGGCTTCTCCTCGGCGCTCGGCTCTTTCTTTCTCGCCCACTCGGGCGACCCCTGTCGCCCGCTCGACCCGCTTCCCCCTCACCCCCGCATGCAGCCCTCGTCAGTCAAGCCGATGACACCGGAGAAAGGACATGCACGCACAAAGCTGCTAAAAATGTAACAAAGACAAGCGAGGCGGAGAGGGGGCCTGTCCGTGCGTCCGTCTGTCCGTCACCGGCGGCCTGGGAGGACAGCGCGGCCGGGGAGCGGGGGAGTGTTGTTGTTTGCTGACAACTGAGCCGAGAGCTCATCTCATCGAGGTCGCCGTTCTTCCTTTTTTTTCCCCCCCGGAGTCTTCTCAGGCAGACAAGTGTTGTTTTTCTGTCGCTCGTTCCTGGGTGGGGTGGGGATTAGAAGCCGAAAGTTGGAAACCTCAGGCAGAGCTCAGGGCTTCCTGAAAGGCAACAAGACACACTACAACAATAACCACCAGCACGCAGCTCTCCGCGGCGTGGGCTCGCTCGAGCTGCGTCCCTCCTTCCTGCCCACTTCGCTCTTGCCTTCCCTCTCGCAGCAGGACTGGGCCATCGCGTCTACGGATGCAGTCCCCCTGCACCCCCGCTGCCCTGGGATGCCACCGTCCCGT